ACTATTATAAGTTTAGCTGGTTTCTCCTACTGTCGTAAAAGATCTCTTCTCCATGGCAGGTCTGCTCATTCATCCACCAATGTCTTCTGACTCAGTTAATGCTCTCGGGAACCAAGTGGCCTCTTCTTTTCTATTTAGGGGTAGTCTCTCTTGAATTTAATTCATTTAAACTTCTCTGTGACACAGTTCCTCAAAGAGTTTAAAGAAAATCAAAGATTTTTTAAATTATGGTTTTTTTCTCCCCTTCACTGCTGCTACACAGAGAACAACTATCTCTTGAAATCTATATCCACCATTCTACTCTTGCTGAAGGGTTATACTCCCATGCCCCATTACCTATATTCTTCATTCTTCTACCATCTTTAAACTCAAATATCATCTTTTCTGAAAAACCTGCTAACCACTCGAGGCAGTTGGTAGCTTCATTTTATTATTATCATTAATTTACTTACCTGTGTTCCCCACTACTGAGTTCCTAGATTACAAATATAATGGCCTCCGCTATAGCTGTGGACGATGGAAGGAAGGCAGAAATCAAGAGGGCAAAATACAAATGTGGATATAAAAGTTAAAAAAAACTATCTTTTAGCTTTAAAGTATATATTATGCATCAAAGACCTTAAAAACCTTCCTTTAGTATTTCTTTACTACATGTCTACTGGTGACAAATTCTCTATACCTAATACACCATACCTACACCTATACACTACACCTGATCTGTATATTGATAATTATTGCTTTGGTACCTGAAAATGCACAGTGCCGAAAAAATGTATACACAGCTTGAGAAAGAAAAAACTGTGTTATAATTGTAATACTCAGTATATACCAATAATACAAGTCATGTTTGACTTCTACAATCACAAGAGGTATTCAAAGTGGTTACCATCAGCATCCACACACTTCTAACTACGGCAAACTATTGCTTGAGCAACACTGATGGAAGTGTCCATTTGTATCGCTGTGCATGCTGTTTCAATTCCCTCCCAAAGAACCACCAGTGTATCCAGTTTTCTATGGTACATCACATCTGTTAAGGTCCCCCAAGGCAGAAGTCCAAGGGTGTGAAGAAAGAACATGGGGGAAACATCCTATCCATTGTCCTGGCAAATACTCATCCAGGTGAGCTTTCACGTCTCAGTATACATAATAATCCCTGATGAAAACGTTCCATTTGGCTGCTTTAAGAATGTGCTATAGACTTGCTCTGCTAACTCCTATCTCACATGCACATCGTTTGGCTTATTAGTGTTGAGTAAGTGACGTGTTCCAACACTGCAGAAGCCCCAGGACGTGCTGCTGTGCGGAGCTTCCTAGATCGTCCCTTATGCACACTACACACAGTACCATTTGTCTCAAACTTACCACCAATGTGTGTCACTGCTAGGCATGTTAGAGGTTCTGTTGCATACTCATACCTGCATTGCTGTTGTACTTCCATGACGTTCTTTAATTTCAAACACCACTTGAAAATGGTCTTGCACTCTTCAAACAACACCTGTGCTTTTGTCATTTTCTTTTGCTGTCCTGCCTGTCACGTGGTGACGCTGGCATTCATTTGATTAATGCTATCTTTTAAGCAAATGTCATTTTGCATGTCACTACAATACAATTCAACTTCAAAAGGTATTTCATAAAGGGGTGCCTGTGGCTCAAAGGAGTAGGGCACCAGCCCCATATGCTGGAGGTGGTGGGTTCAAACCCACCCAAAAATATTTCATAAATAACAGTGCTTAAAATGTGTATCCTTCTTTTGCCAGCCCTGACATTCTCTCAAAATTGAGAATTATATTTTTTTTATAAAATTTATACATGAGAATTATATGTTTGAATATAACTTAGTGGTAGAAAAGACTTCTGATTTCAAATGATGTACTTTTAAAATGAAAGTACCAAGTAATATTGGCCATTGGGAGGCCCCATTCTACTATGCTATTTTACAAAATAACCACTCAGCTCTTTAACTTTAGCACATTCTACAAACACCAGAATTAAAATAGTCTTGTGATGTGCTCTGTGTTATATTTTTATATGACCCTGTGTTACGTCATTTGTAAGAGCAGCTATTTATATTTCTAATGTAAAGGTAAACATAAAAGCTTGAATATATCACAAAGTGTTCTTAAACTATTTAATGAATAAAAGTTCCATCCTTAAATTGAGATTAAAAGATCTCTTAATTCATGCACAATCACACATAGCAGGTATTTATGGAAAACATGACACTCTAATAACAGGGTAAGGAAACGAAATACCTTGATCAGAGCAATTTAAATATATTTTCATATCTGAGACATTTCTAAGTCAGAAGCACCATGAGCCATTAAAAGAATTTGCCCAAGAGGGTAAATCCATTTAGAAAACTTACTATTGATTATTCTAAGGTTAAGAGAAGTGATGACTGAGACAGATATGACTAAAGCAAATAATTTAGTCAGTGTTCTTGGTAAAAGAATTCAAAAGGTAAAACCTTGCTTCGTTATTTGTTTTTAGTTTCAAAAAATGTCTTAAAAGAGAAGTGCACAGAGGTAAGAGCAATTCAAAATAATATACTATTAAATACACAGATCATTTTAAATATCTAAGTTAATCCATTAAAAAATACCTACAGCTAGAAAACCCAGAAGTAGAATTTCCAGTACACCATTTTTAAACACTTGAAAATGTTTTTTTAAAGGGAACAATCTTTCCAATGCCTAAAGAAAATTCTGTTGCACTCTGTTCCTCCACTTACAATTATGCTATCCATACATATAATCCCATTAGATGGTATGAAGAGGAACTGCAAAGCAAGGACATTCACACCACAGCAGAAATTAATCCAAGAACCCGAAATGTACAGGTATAAATTAGGATGGTTGAACTGCAGTTTTATCTTACACAGAAAACATTTAAATGGAAGCTGAATGACAGCTGGTGAAATGTGAGTCTGTGATTCAACCACTCAAAAACTATCAACACTAAAGCAATATAAATGTAAAAGGCTTGTGAAAGTGTTCACAGATTTCTATATTATGTCCATCTAGAGCAACTGAAAATTAAGGCTATGATTTTTTGTTTTCCTAATTAATCAATAGTCATAAAATAAAAAAAAGTGAGTTATAAAAGGTAATTACAAGTTTTGTAGCTACTAACCTCTTAAGTATGTTGTTTCTTAAAATAAAAGGAATATGCTAAGGAAATAAGGTTCATTCATTGACTATAGAAATTCTTTAATAGTCATACCTGGTCTCACTTACTAAAGGTAGAAGACTGAAGTCAGAGGAAAGAAAAAAAATCAACCAGCAAAAAGGGCAAAGATCAGATGGATTCCATATCTCAGGATTGTTATTTCATAGTTCCCATGGAGATGAATAAAGAAAAGCATGAGAAGTATGAGTGATGCAGAGCCACTGGCCATCCAGATTAGACTGGTTACTACTAAGATAAAAATAAATACTTTTAAGTTTTATAAGGCGACTAGATTACTTCAAAGTACTCTACTGGAGAGCTACTCAAATACCTCTTAATGGTTTCCTAACGTGAACTCCTAAGAACTGAATTCAGAGTATTTCTGCAGAGAAATCATATTTTTAAAAATGCCCTCTCTTTGTCTTAACCTTCAACACATAGCAAAAGAATTACAATCTATTATTTTTAATTAAAAAATATATAATTGTAATTACTATGTAACAAATTAAAAAGCTATTATCGATTTGAACTCATTTTCATTAACTGAACAAATGAGAAAATAGTGCATTTTCTTAGGGGTTCCTATTCTTCCCCCTACATGGATACAAAAATATTAATTCCTAAAGGGCAAAAGTAATCAGTAACTAAGCTAAGAATTTACAAAATAAGGAAAGGAGAATGTGGTGTTAGTTTAAAATACAAGAGAATAAGTTTCAATGAAGACAGAAGTCATTTTGAAAAAAAATCCAAAAATTACAACAATGACGGCTGCAACCAAAAAACAGCTGGGCGTTGTGGCGGGCGCCTGTGGTCCCAGCTACTTGGGAGGCAGAGGCAGGAGACTCGCTTGAGCCCAGGAGTTGGAGGTTGCTGTGAGCTGTTATGCCACAGCACTCTACCCAGGGGGACAGCTTGAGGCTCTGTCTCAAAAAAAAAAAAAAAAAAGAAAGAAAAAAATCCAAAAATTTAACATTAAACCTGGAAGAAACCATAGAAAAGATATAGTATGTACTTTGATAAATTACAATGAGGGACCACAAATTAAACAAGAATTTACAGTACAAGCTGGAGAGGGATAAATAACAATAAAACCCCCCCAAAGTCCCCTTTTGAGACTTAATAATTCTTTTGAAAATGATTTTAAAGAGGTCATACTTTTAATATTTTCTTAATCATCCCATTATCAGAAATTAGTAGTATGAAAAAGATTAAAGGAGATATGTGAAACTCAAGCCTTAAAGAAATCTTTTTTCCCATAGAAATACACGGTTTTTAAAATGTAACAAAACTACATAAAAGAGTATAAACAAATATATAAGAAACATCAACAAGTAATATATTTTTTCCTTCAAAATAATACAGAACAAAAGGAAATAGGTAAAGGTGTTAGATGAAAGAACTTTAGCAATGCTATTCTATTTGTGCATATGCTTGAAGTTTTCCATAAATAAATGTATTTTAAATTACTTAACCACAGTATGATAATGGTATGGTTTAATACCAAATCAATGATGTTTTAGGTGTTTCAACGAAATATTACCTTCATATATAAAGATACTAGTGACACAGCACAAGTAAAATGAACGTGTTATTGTTTTTAGCAAAGAGCTAGGTCACTGCATTGTCCACAGTCTCTCACACTGTTCCTTTTGAAAACAGCTCTTAAATATTTAAGAGACTGGTGGCTAAAATGAAGGGTAAGTGTTCACATGGAAGTTAACTAGCCTTTATCAGGATTAAGTCCAAAGCAACACAATTAAACTTAGGAGTAGAACTTTTTTAAACAAATAAAACAAAAGGTAAAAAATGCTACAAAGCTACTCTCTTACCTTGACCAAGATGTGAAGGTTTTTGAGACAGTATGTGACCGCTGCCATCTAAAACATACTGGGTGCTAAAATTATCAGCAGCCGTCCTTGTTGTAATTAAAACCTGAGGGGGGGCGGGAAACACAAATAGAATTATCATTTTAGATATTGCAGTGGGTTGATTATCAAATTAAATTTGAAATAATTATCACATAATGATTTGCTTAATAAAAGTTTCACATGATAAATTCTTATGTCCACTTCTTTTGTAATATTCCTTTTTTCTTTTTTTTTTTTTGAGACAGAGTCTTAATTTGTTACCCTTGGTATATGCCATGGAGTCAAAGCTCATAGCAATCTCAAACTCTTGGGCTCAAGATTCTCTTGCCTCAGTCTCCTGAGTAGATGAGACTACAGGCACCCACCTCAACGCCTGGCTGTATTTTTAGAGACAGGGTTCTCACTCTGGCTCAGGCTGGTCTCGAACCTGTGTGCTCAAGTGATCCACCTGCCTTAGGCACCCAGAGTGCTAGGATTATAGGTATGAGCCACCGCACCCGGCCCTGTAATATTCCTTAGTTACACTAAGCAACAGGCCAGCTTGTATTTTTCCTGTTGCAAATTACTGTTTTTCATTTTAAGAATTTTAATTAAAACACTTATATACAAACCAGTATACCTTAAATGGCTATATGTACTATAAATATACTGCATTGCTTATGTCTCTAAAAGCAAATACTTCAACTATACTAGGTGAACTTGCTTTTTAACAGTTTCCATAAATTTATTGGTAAATGAATAATACTTTGGTGAAGTGATCATTACTTCTCCTTTTTATAGTCTTTGTAAAAATTATACTTCTATATTTCAAGTTATGGTTCAATAAAATGTTTAATTACACATATGTATCTTTATACAACTTTTTCTTAAAAACAATCTTTAAACTCAGGTGTAAAATTTGTATTAAAAAAACTTAAGCATTAAAACGTGTAAGCACAAGAGATTTCATGCATGAAAATAGTACTTCAGATGTAAGTCTTAGAAATATAAATTTTAAAGTGTCTGTATTCTTTTGAGCTACGCTTCTCCTTACCTTTCTATTTACCTATCTTGTGAGATTAATCAGAAAGTATGACAAAAATAAAATACATATACCTTTGTTAGGAAAAAACCAAGATGAGGAGTGAGGATGCTGGCAAGGAAAACAAGGTGGACCAGGAAGAAGACAGCCTCCTCACACATCTGGTGATCACTGATAATTCAAAATTGAGTGTAATCTTTTTTGGCCAGCCTTATACTCAGAAGCCAGAACTCTTCTATGGCCATTTGGATTTATATCTGATGGTTCTGCACCCCACCCTGACTAAGCAGATTTATTGTAGGCCATAGGGCTCTGTGGAGCATGTAGGTACCATGCAGTGAATATCAGAGCCACCACAAAAAAATAGGGCTTCTCCAGCTGAGTGTGCTAGATTCTGAGAATGAAGTCCATAAAACCCTTCCTAGGGATATTGCATTGAGCTATTTCTGTGATAACTATCCCCCAAAGTACCTAAAGCAGACAGGTTGAGAGCTTCTTTGTATTCTTCAGTGACTGTTTTACTTCTAAAAGGCATTGCATGGTTCAAAAACTTCATAATTTAGAAGACAGAAATTGCTAAAGACTTTCTTTCCAGCGTTCAATTACTCCATGATTCTCCCTTTAAAAATAATTACACATTTAACCAACTGCTTCTCTAAAATGCCAAGGTCAACGGAATTCTATTTCTATTCTCCAAAGAGCTAGCCACCTGACCTAAAGTTGGTGTCACTGAGCAAAGACAGCCCTGGAACTCTTGAGTTCCAGTACTAACTCTGCCAGCAGCTTCTAGATGGTCCTGAATAATGATGATTACACTATCACCTTTAAGGAGAGGGTGATGATAAGATGAAGATGATGCTAATACTTTATAAGGTTACTTGGGATTTTGCTTTAACCACTTCAAAGCATTTTATAAGATACCACCTTGCTCACCCTGAACATATTAGTGAATAGTAAATAAACTCCAGCCTAGATGAATAAACTGAAGTGCTAAATAAAATAGGACCTTAGTGTAACTACAGTAATATAACATTTATGTTAAAGTTAAAAAAAGAATAGAACACAATATTATTTTTCAATATTAAATTTTTTTTAATTACAATTTGGAGGTATCATGGAAATTTATTTAGATAGGAAATGCTTTGCAATTCATAGCTAAAGACAGTGAAGGATAAATAGGTATATTTCACAAATTCATGAAATATAGTGTGTTCTTCAGAGGAAGGAAAGGAATTGTATTTCAGGAGTTTATTTCATCATATGACCCTGTGTCCTAGGCAGGAAACCTTTTCTTGGACCAGGCACAGGTTCAGAAGGCATTAGAACATCTAAACTTGCAATAACTCCACCACCAGGAGAGTCTCTGATATTACAAACTAATAGTGGTAATTCTTACAAAGACATGGAGGAATCATAGCAGTGAGTGAATCTAATGGTGTCAAGCAAGGAAATTTTTAAAAACCCCCAGTACTTTAAACAGAGAAGTTTTAGAAGTCCTTAGGGGGCCTTAGAGGTTATGTTAACTATCATCTATTAAAAACTGGCTCTTGGGTCCAATTACTAAGTTTTAGGAAATTATATTATTATAAAACTAAAATTACATAAAAATACTTAAACTTTAGGTAAGCATAGTTTTTCTTCAATGTTTAGAATTAAAACTAGGCAAAACCTTTGGGTTCTTTTAGCCGACTTTAGATGAACACGTTGGCACAGAAGACATGAGTCTGAAAACTAAGATAAATGGTCTTTAGGATTCAGGTGAAACAAGGACTTTTACATGGATGACTCAAATTCCTTTTTCTTTCTGTGTACACCTGCCTGTGCATAGCTGTATGTTAATTAAAATATTCTAACTTTAGAACCTGCCCCTGATACCTACTATGGGGGAGACTAGCACCAGAGAGCTCTTGGCCCTGGCTTTTTTTCCTTTCAACAGAGTTCTATTTACCTATGCTGAAGCTGCTATTTAGAAAGCAAAATATTCCAACTGCTTAAAAAATTTCTAAATCTATTCTGACCAAAGCTCTGCCACCATGGCTATAAAGTACATAGGAAGTCCCCTACACTGTGGAAAAGGAATCAGGAATCATTTGCTTGGCTTAGAACCATTAGAATAATGCTAAGGGCTTCCCCTGCCCTTTACACAGCTATGTGGGCCCACGAATAATAGAGTTCTAACTTTCACCTTCAAAACACAATGGCTTAGCTTCGTATTCTGCCTCTAAGGTATGGACTCTTAATGCGATGTGACAAAATCAAACCCACAGAGGCTGATTGCATCACAAAATTATGAATAGAAAACCTTGGACAAACGGGGGGCTGAAATGCATGGGTCCACTTACACACTGATTCTTTTTTCTGACTGTGCCACTCCTGAGACAGCAAGACCAACCCCTCCTCTTCCACAGTCCACTTAATGTGAAGATAACAAGGATGAACACTTTGATGATCATCTACTGCCATTTAATGAGCAGCAAATATATTTCCTCTTCCTTAAGATTTTCTTAATAACACTGTCCTCTCTAACCTATTTTACTGTAAGAATACAGCATATATCATACAACATATGTGTTAACTGACTTAACTGGTAAATGTTAACAGTGAGGCTTCTGGTCAATAGTAGGGTACTAGTAGTTTTTAGGAAATTAGAAATTATATGCAGATTTCTGATTGCATGGGGGCGGGTCTGGTAACCCTTATCCCCACACTCTTCATGGGTCAACTGTATATGAATTGGATAGATTAGAATAAAACCCTACACCATAACCACTTAAAAAATGCTGAATGAATAAATTGATAAATCTGAGTGCTATGCAGAGGGAGGCTGGCAACTCTTTTCATTCTCCTGAAGGGAAAAAAGAGTAAAAAAATGAACTTATAATACAGAAGAAGAAACTTTCATGCGAATTAGGAATTCACCTATGAATAGCTGTTAAAATTTACAAAGGACTTCGTCAAAATGTGGAGGAGTCTGCATGAGCTTTGGCTGGTAACATGAAATATTGCCTGCAGAAGGGAATAACCAAGTGTGATAATTTTATCACATACATGATATAGCTGTATTAAGACTGTTTCACATTTAAGTTTAAAGTAGAAATAACTTTCATCTGTATGGCACATGACAGCATTTGAGCTATTTTAACATTTATTATTTTTACTTAACCCTCAAATCATTACCCTCATGCTATAGATTTTTTTTTAAAAAGTGACTATCAGAAAAATTAGTCTGTTTCATGCTTTAGACCAGGTCTCCTTGCCAAAGACTTAGGATTTAGAATTAGGCTTCTGATTCCTACCTCAGAGTGTATTCTGAGTTTCAAAAGACAAAATAAACTGCTCTGTATTTCTCCTAAAACCAAGGAGTAATTTAGCTTCCACCTAAAATGCAGTACAAAAATTTAAATGAGTTTCTTAAACATTACTTTTGGGGAAAAAGATCATTTATAACACAACACATATAAAAATCAACTTAATAAGGAATATAATCTTTTATTATATACATCTTATGCGACAGGAACAATATATACAAGTAGTCATTATAAAAATTTTTATCAATAGGTAAAAAGCAGAATTTTTACTATCTCTAGTTCTAGTCACTATGCTTAGTAATTAATACCAGTAATTTAATACTGAAGGTGATGATAACTCAAAATTATTGCTCTATAAATAGTAAATGTTAAGAAATGTTTGTTGATACGATTTTTAAAAAAACTATTATGAACCTGTATTAGTCACTGATACACTTACATTCATCATAGCTTATGAAAGTAGTAATTCTATTTGTAAATATTTAATAGTTTACTTTGCTAAGTATATAAGAAAAACTATCCCTTTTAGACTTTTTAGATTGGAAGTTATTTTATAATTGACAAATTAGGAAAACTGCCCATACTTTTCAAGTATGTAAATAAATAATACAGAATTAAATGTATTGGGCAGTGTCTGTGGCTCAAAGGAATAGGGCGCTGGCCCCATATGCCAGAGGTGGTGGGTTCAAACCCAGCCCCAGCCAAAAACTGGAAAAAAAGAAAAAAATAAAAGAATTAACTGTATTTTAGATATCTTCTGCCAATTTTGCTGAAAGTCTAACTTAATTTTTCTTTTTATAACCAAAATTTTAACATCTTTAATATAACCTAGCGAAAAGAAATGTCAACAATTGGAGTTTTAGGTGATGGCTGTCTGACAGTGCAACAAAACTAAATTCCAACTGCATATTATCAATCTATATTAAAAATAGAAAAACTAGCCTGGCATTGTGATGGGCACCTGTAGGCCCAGCTACTCAGGACACTGAGGCAAGAGGATCACTTGAGTCCAAGAATTGATGGACTATGATGACGCTATGATGACGCCGCAGCACTCTACCCAGGGCAAGACAATGAGACTCTGCCTCAAAAAAATAAATAAATCAGCTCGGTGCCTGTGGCTCAAGTGGCTAAGGTGCTAGCCACATACACCTAAGGTGGTGGGTTCGAATCTAGCCCAGGCCCGCCAAACAACAATGACGGCTGCAACCAAAAAATAGCCGGGCATTGTGGCGGGCACCTGTTGTCCCAGCTACTTGGGAGGTGGAGGCAGGAGACTCGCTTGAGCCCAGGAGTTGGAGGTTGCTGTGAGCTTTGATGCCATAGTACTCTACCCAGGGGGACAGTTTGAGGCTCTGTCTCAAAATAAATAAATAAATAAATAAATAAAATGTTACTATTTTCTAAGATTAAAAAAAAAATGCTTGGCATGGCAACATGTAAATTGCAAATGTCCTTTTTTTAAGTTTATAGTTTTCTATTGTTGTGTTACCTTAACCATTCTTTGTAATTTTGATGAACAAAATTATTTTAACCATTTATACTCCAGGACATTTGAATGCCTCAATAATAAAAGACAAAATGAAAAACTGCCTATCAAACGGGTTTAAGTAATCAAATAAGGGAACAAGATAGAGCGTGACCAATGGACAAAGAAAAACTACCATCTAAAATCAGAACTGCCCTGAAGATTTGGATAAATGATACAGATCGTGTTCAACATATTTGTAAATACTAAGTATAGTGCTGCCATCTAGCAGGCAAAGCTGTTTATGACCAACTTCAGCTCTGAAAGGTTATATACATCTTGTAGAAAATAAGGAAATGCCAAATTCTCTTTACTGACAATGCTCTACCAAATAAAGCTTTAAGACTACTTGCTAAGTATGATAACAGCTAATAAATAAATAAATACTTAAATTCTACAACAAAAAATATACTTCTAAAATAGCCACTGAGAACTCAAACAACAGAACTAGTGCTAGGAGGTTCAGAGGTTTCCTAGTGCAAACTTCATTCCATTTTAAAAACAGGCACTCTGTACAAGATCCAGGACTCAAATACAGTCTCTGGGCAGAAACACAGGCAATGTTGAATTGTACCCTTTAGTTCAGGGGTCCTCAAACTTTTTAAACAGGGGGCCAGTTCACTGTCCCTCAGACTGTTGGAGGGACGGACTGCAGGCCCCAGGATGAGTCAGCTGCTAAGCAGGACAGGCAGCGGCAGTAAAAACACCCAGCAGGCTGGATAAATGTCCTAGGCGGGCTGCATGTGGCCCGCAGGCCGTAGTTTGAGGACGCCTGCTTTAGTTGCTCTTCCACTAAATCTATCTGGAAGCTCAGTGAAGTCTAAATAAAGTGAGAAAGACAGAGAAGTACATATTGGGCTACATTACAGATAGAGGTTTTAAGAGTGTACTTAATAGTTCTTCCGTCAATGGTATTTGAGCATATAGATTGTAATAAGCAATGGCCCTAATCCTCTATGTTACAAAAGCAAAATCACCCACTTAAATTTCATCACCCCAACAATTTTTCTGGCCTACATAGGACATCCCTACAGAGCCCCAAAGTAAAAGATAGGTGAATACATATACAGACAATCTAAAGGTTCAAATTATGATTTTTCAACTTTACAACAGTGTAAAAGCAATATGCATTCAATAGGAAGCAGTAGAATACTCTTAGAACACCAGATAGCAGCAGTGAGCCACAGCTCCCAGATGACCATACCATCACTAGGGTAAACAACTGATACTCCACAATGTACAGTGTTGCCAAATGATTTTGCCCAACTATAGGCTAATATAAATGTTCTGAGCATGTTTTAGTAGGCTAGGTTAAACTATGATGTTCAGTTAAGTTAGGTGTATTAAATACATTTTCAACTTAAAATAGGTTTATCGGGATGTAACCCCATCCTAAGTCAAGGAGCATGTGTATCCAGCTGGGACACTATCCACAAAAAAATGGAGAATACATACACTGTTCCAGCAGGTCAAAGACAGAGGGCTAAGGGAAGACCACAATGAGCCTGGAGAATACATCACTGCTGGGAAGAGCAGGCTGCTAAACTGATGTCCAAAGACCAGAAAAGGAGATAAGAACAATATCTTATGTACATGTCATTTTTCCCCAATAAAAGGTATACAGTCCTATCATTTTACTGCATCTGAATGTTCTCACCTAAATAGGTTCCGCCAGCCTAAGCATAAGTGAAAGATTACATATGGCTACTGGACAAACTTCAGTAGCTAAAGAGACCCTTACAATCACCCTGTCATTCACTGGCCCACAGATACTGTTATATTGTTACACAATAAAAAAGCCCAACACCTACAGAGTAATAGCATAGCACAAGGAAGCTAGTATAGAGCCATTTAATGGAACACAACTAAGATACATGTAAATGAAGAGACATTGGCTTTGCCACACATTAGTTATAAAATCTGGGGCAGAAGCAGTGTACTATGGTAGTACAGAATTGAGTGTGTCTGGCACTGTCATGACCACATAAATGACCATGCGAGACATGGATTGACAGTACACACTGCACGAGGTGAGGCTAACCATAGGTGCAGGATAGCCCCAAGAACTTCTCACAGAGCCCTTTTAATGAGAGGATACATAATGGGTGGAAAGATTACAAAGCAAAGACATGTGGGGGCTGCATGCTCAGGGAAATGATCTCATAGGTGCCAAGAGAGTATGTACTCAAGGAAACGATCTTCAAGGGTGGTAAGGGAAATGATCTCCAAAAATACTACATGCAATTTTTCTCCACTAACCCTTGAAGGAACTGCCATAAAATGCTTAATGTTTAACATTAGCCTTACTATTACAGGACTAAACTTTGCTCTTCCAGGATTACTGAGTTACTTGGTGGCTTCTTGCTTTCCAAGTCACAAGAGATTTCCAGGCTTGCCAGGAGAATGTCTTGTTCTCAGTAATTCCTTAGATGAGTTATGATATTGGTGGCTGTTGTAGTAAGTATGATGTTTAATACTCTATACGGCCCTGGATGCATGGATTTACAGACACTGAAAACACTTAACCAACAGTTAGAAGAGTAAAGTTCTTAGACCCAATCTGCCCCTAACTAGCTAGGGTTTAAGCCAAATCAATTCACATCTCTAGTGTACAATTTCATTATCTGTTTTGATTAGTGTACTATTTCCAGAGTGTGTTCCACAGACAACAAATAAAAAACAATAACGGTAATATACTAGTGTTTCATGGTCAAGTAGGTATAGGGGGAATGTACCTACTATAAAATCACCAACCTTGACATTTACAACGTGCTTTAGTACAGTAAAGGCTCTAAGAAGCGCTCTAGTTACAGATCTATTTAGATATTTTACATTTTTTCCCAAGGCAATGAACCACTATACCACCTTTTCCTCTAATAAATATTAACATTGCAAAACATACTTTGCTGCCCTTTGAAAAATAAAACATAGAACTGCCATATGACACAGTAATTCTATTTTTTATATATAATTCTAGCTATACACCTGCAAGAACTGAACACAGGGACTTGAACAGATATTTGTATGCCTATGTTCATGGCAATATTATTCATAACAGCCAAAAGGTGGAAGCAACCCTAAATGTCCATGGATGGATAGATGAAATGTGGTATATACAAGGGAATATTATTCAGCCTTAAACAGGAAGGAAATCCTGACATGACATAACACAGATGAACCTTGGTGACATTATGCTAAGTGAAATAGGACACAAAAAACAAATATTGTATGATTCTTCTATGAGACACTTAAAATAGTCAAATTCATAGAGACAGAAAGCAGAATAGTGCTTACTGGAAGCAAACAGAATGGGAACTTAGTATATAATGGGTACAGAGTTTTAGTTTAGGATGCTGAAGAAGTTCTGAAAATGGATAATGGTGAGGGCTGCATAAAAGCGTTAATGTATTTAATGTCACTGCCACTGAAATGTACACTTAAACATGGCTAAAATGGGCCAGGTATGGTAGCTCATACCTGAAATCTCAGCACATTGGGAAGCCAAGGCAAGAGGCTTGATTAAGGCCAGTAGATTGAGATCAGTCTAGGCAACATAGGGAGAACCTATCTCCATGAAAAATTAAAATGAAACAGCTGGGCATGGCAGTGCTCACCAGTAGTCCTAACTACTTAGGAGGCCAAGGAGGATGGCTCAAGCCAAAGAGTTCAAGGCCACCGGAAGCTATGATTATGCCACTGCATTCTAGCCTGGGTGACAGGGTGAGACCATCTCAATAAACAAAAACAAAATAAATATGGTTAAAAATGGTAAATTTTATGTTATGTATATTTCACTATAATGAAAAAAAATTTAAACATTAACAAAATACTAGATTAGTTTTCTCTTAGTTCTAATCTTCCATGATTATAAAATCACTACATAACCAATATAAATTACCTTACCTCAGCTATGCAACAAATTGACCCCAAGGCTTCTCCACGAAAACCGTAAGTTGTCAAGTTTTCAAGATCTTCGTGACTACTTATTTTTGAGGTATAGTACTTCACTGCCATTACAGGTGCATCAACAGCCTTTATACCTTCACCATTATCTCGCACCTCAATTTTATCAAACCCATAGTTTTCCTATAAAATGTTAAAAGAAAAACACTTTTAGTACATCAAAATATTAAACTATTATGACATTCACAACCAAAAAAAAAACCACAATGAAAACAATTGTCATTTATTTACCTTGTATGGAAGCCTAACATTATGGAAATAAGAGTTTAAATCCTTTAGCTCTATTAATTCTAGTTACGGTGCAATGAACAAGTTCCTTGTTTTCTTTGGGCTCAGATTCAACTGTAAAATAAGGAGGTAAGTCTGATCTTGAAGGTTTCTTTTAATTGTTTCATTATCATGAGCATTTATGATAATTTGTTTAAACTTGACCCCCCCCAAAATTTTCTGAATTATACATGCCTTTCATATGCACAAATCCCTAAATGAAAAAAAACAGAATACTATCACCAATAAAACAAACCCGTTCTACCTACAAAAACACTAACAATTATTATTCAACGAGATTTTACTTTCTTTTTTCAAAAAGAGTCTCACTCTATCACTCCAAGTAAAGTGCTGTGGTATTAACATAGCTCACTGTAGCCTCAAACTTCTGGGCTCAAGCAATCCTCCAGCCTCAGCCTCCTGAAGTGCTGAGATTACAGGCACAAGCCACACATCTGGCTAAATTTTGAATTTTTTGTAGAAATGGGAATCTCTCTCATGTTTAGGCTGGTCTTGAATTCCTAAGCTCAAGCAATCCTCACCCTCTCAGAGTGCTAGAATTACAGGCTAATTCTGTAATCAGGCACAACCTGATTTTTAATACTTTCTCCCTTATTGCTCCCATAAAAAACTTAATATTTACTACATAACCTTCTACAAGCCATCACCTAACAAAAAATGCTTAGAAACACCTCAGTAACTTTTTAATTCAAAAGTCAAGGCTCGGCGCCTGTGGCTCAAGCAGCTAAGGCGCCAGCCACATACACCTAAGGTGGTAGGTTCGAATCCAGCCCAGACCCGCCAAACAACAATAATGGCTGCAACCAAAAAATAGCCAGGCATTGTGGCAGGCGCCTGTGGTCCCAGCTACTTGGGAGGCTGGAGGCAGGAGACTCGCTTGAGCCCAGGAGTTGGAGGTTGCTGTGAGCAGTGAAGCCACGGCACTCTACCCAGGGGGACAGTTTGGGGCTCTGTCTCAAAAAAAAAAAAAAAAAAAAAGTCAAGAAAATTCTTTTAAAAACTCAATTCGTATCTTATTCTAATACTAAAAATATGAACATATATTAAAAATATAATCTAAATTTCTTAAGTGACACACTTTCTATTAATACCATATCCTAAATTTGGTAGCTAACTTCTACCATAAGCCTGACTCTATAATTTTATGCATGACCATAGATGCTAATTTTAAAGGGGGAGGAGAAACTTCCTGAAATAATAATGCTCTAGTATTTAACATAATGCTTTTTTTTTTCTTTAGAGACAGAGTCTCACTTTATTGCCCTCAGTAGGGTGCTGTCGTATCACAGCTCACAGCAACCTCCAACTCCTGGGCTTAGGCAATTCTCTTGCCTCAGACTCTCAAATAGTTGGGACTACAGGTACCCACTAGAATGCCTGGCTATTTTTTTGTTGCTCTTTGGCCAGGGCCAGGTTCAAACTGGACACCCTTGGTATATGGGGCTGGCACCCTACCCACTGAGCCACAGGTGCTGCCCACATAATGCTTTGGCTATTTTGGGCGGGGGGGGGGGCAATGTGGTGGTTCACACCTATAAACCTAGCACTCTGGGAGGCCAAGGTAGATGGATTGCCCTGAGCTCACAGGTTTGAGACCAGCTTGAGCAAGAGCGAGACCCCACCTCTAAAAAAATTAGCCAGGCATCATGGGGGATGCCTGTAGTCCCAATTACTTGGGAGGCTAAGGCAAGAGAATCGCTTGAGCCCAAGAGTTGGAGGTTGCTGTGAGCTATGATGTCAGGATACTATACCAAAAATGACAAAGTGAGACTCTTATCTCAAAACAAATAAATAAAATAAAATGCCTGAAAAATATAAATTGTCTTTCTTTGGGTTTAATTAACTTTTTTTTTCAGGTTTATAAAGCTACATTATTTAAAAAAACAATACAGATTTGATATAGAAAAGCAGTTCTCCAAATTCATTCCCTAAAGTAGCAGCATCAGTATCAATTAGAAACTTAGTAGAAATGCCAATTTTCAGGCCTGCCTAGAATCTGAAGTTCTAAGAGGATCCAGCAACTATTTTAACAAATGGCTGTAAGTTATTCTAATGCACCCAAACATTGTGAGAACCAGTAGCATAGAGGAAAGATCTTGAATGGGTTTTAGTCAGAAAGACCTGGATTCCAACCTCAGCACCACTACTTACTAATTATGTGACTTTGGGAAAGTTCTCAGAAGATTATTTACTTCTAAAATAGGTACAGTAGTAGTTAATACAGAAAGTTTTTATAAGTTACTGGTATTTAATTTATATAGAGAGGTGGAGTGAGAGAGAGAGAAAGAGAAGGAGGGGGATATCTCATTGAATCTTATTTGAAAGATAAAAGGTTAGTTCCTGTTCTTAAAAAGATATTCCAATCAGCATTATTTCTAATCCCATAATACTAGAAATAACATGAAAATCTGATAATTAGGAGACTTGAAAAAATGTATTTTGGGGTAGCGCCCACAGCTCAGTGGATAGGGTGCTGGCCACATACATCCAGGCTGGTGGATTCAAACCCGGCTGGGGCCAGCTAAACAATGACAACTGCAACAAAAAAATAGCCGGGCGTTGTAGTGGGCACCTGTAGTCCCAGCTACTCAGGAGGCTGAGGCAAGAGAATTGCTTAAGTCCAAGAGTTTGAGGTTGCTGTGAGCTGTGACGCCACAGCACTCTACCAAGGGTGACATAGTAAGACTTTGTCTCAAAAAAAAAAAAGTATACTTTTAATTTTTTATTAAATCATAAACACATAGATCATGTATACACTAATGCATTTATGGGGTACAATGTGCTGATGTCATATAAAATTAGGAACACTGACATCACACTGGTTTATACTTCATCATTCTTATATTCAATAAAAAAAATGTATTCACCTTGCTGATATGTACCAGGCACTGTAGGTATTGAGGACACAAAAATAAAGAATAGAGGTAACATCTATGAGCTAGCAATTTAGAACAAGGGAAACAGACACACAAACTAACTGCAACAAATTATGATGAGTGTTGTAAGTCATATTAACTGAAATGATTTAGCTGGGCACAGCAGCTCATGCTTATAATCCCAGCAACTCACAAAGCTGAGGGGGAACTGCCTGAGGCCAAGAGTTTGAGACTAAACTAGGCAACATAACCAAGACCTCAATTCTAAAAAAAAAAAAAAAAAAATTTAGCTGGACATAGAGGGACGTATCAGTAGTCCTACTTTCCCACCTACTTGGAAGGCTATAGAAAGAGGACTGCTGAGCCCAGGAATCTCACACTATAGTAAGCTATTATTATACCACTGTACTCTAGCCTGGGTGATAAGAGTGACACCAGGTATCTTTAAAAAGAAAAAAAAAGATTAAAAATGTAGCAACTATGAAGTAACAATAATTTAGAAATAAGATTAAGTGGAAAAAATAGGATGCAAAGGGGAATATTTAATAATAAAACAAATGAATAACCAAGGAAAAACATTTGGACTTTAAGTTGATGTTTTAGGAGATGACAGAGTTCTAAGGAATGTGTTTTCTTCCATAATGTTCTTTAGTTTTACTATAATGTTGACTTAAATTAAAATGTATTTTTAAGAATTTACTTTTAAGAGAAATGGTCTGATGTCCTAAGAATAACTTGCTGGTACATAGGAGAAAAATAAAGGTTTAAGGAGAAAACACCTGTCCAGCCCATTTTCCTTTAAGATATTTGGCTTCTCAATGACACTCACGAGTTTAACATCTATGCTTGTGGCACCAGCATCCAAGGAGTTTTCAACGAGCTCTTTTACAACACTGACCACTGAAGTGATGATCTGAGAACTTGAAAGGAGGCGGACTGTTGCTGCAGGCAACTGTTTCATTCTAGCTGTTAGCAGAGGAGCTAGAAGACAAAAATATAAGTTGTCAAAATAAGTATTGTTAAACAATCTTTCCTAAGTGAGCCAACAGCAATAAAAGTATAATAATACCTCACATCTGTTAAGCTTTACAGTATGCCAGACTCTACTGTTTGTGAACACAATCTCTAATCATTTATTTCTTACCAATACCCTTTGGCAGAGGTACTATTATCATTTCCATATTATAAGAGAACCTAGGAAACTTGTCCAAGGTCATCCAGTTATTAAAAGGCAGACCTAAGATTTAAATATAGGCAAGTCACTTCTATTGCTTTGTAATCCAATTACCTCTTACAAATAAAAGTGACCCAAAGTGACTTCAAAAAATCCCTAACAATGTAAGGAGAAAATTATTTTTTTTCTCTAATGTACCTCAGGGTTTTTGTTAGGCTTTACTAGATAACCACAATTCTCAGTTTTCTTCTGAATTCCAATCCTGTATTTCCAACTGCCTGCTGAAATCACTAGCTCAAACTCAAGGCTTAACACAGTGGTTCTCAACCTTCCTAATGCCGTGACCCTTTAATACAGTTCCTCATGTTGTGGTGACCCCCAACC